CCGTTATTTCTATATAGATTTTTTTCGATCTTTTCTATGGTAGCTATAAGATATAGCTATAAATCATGCTCGTGGGATAAAAAACAACGATGTTATCAATTTATTTCAATTAATTCTATATATATTTTTTGAACTCTCCTATGGCAGCTATATGATAGAGTTATCCGATTTTGATCAAATTTAATCCGAAATTCAATAACAGTTCGAAAACGCCATCTTGAAGAAATCAAGTCGATCTGATCAAAAACAACGGCGTTAGAATTTTTTATTTCGTTCTCTCGTATGGGAGCTATCCGATATAGTCGGCCGATCCGGCCCGTTCCGACTTAAATACTGCGTGCAATGACTACACACCTTTTGGGAAAATTTCAGCCAGATAGCTTTAAAACTGAGAGACTAGTTTGAAGAGAAACAGACAGACGTAGTTCGATTTAGATCGTGATGCTGATCAAGAATATACATATATACATAATGGGTTGTGAGGAGTCTCTTTCACAGCGTTGCAACTTTCTGGCTGAAATTATAATACCCTTTATAAGGGTATAAAAATTTCCCTGATATATCCAAGAGAAAATATGCTTTCAGCTGTTATAAAGCTTTTTGGTAGACGATCTTTAAGTTGATTTATTGTTTTAGGTATGAAAAGCCAATTTTTATATGCATTTTTTACATCAAATATAGTGAGCTTATTGTTTTCTTAACAATTAAACAATTACAGATGCTTCGAATCCTGCCGTAACCCAATCGCCGCCATCACCCATGCTAATTTGGTGCACATGGTGGTATCCTATTTGTATCCTATTTGTACCCAATGAATGGTATCCTACTTACGTGGAAAGAGTAATACAGTCGAATCCCGATAATTCGTACCCCGCTAAATCGAAAATCGCGAAATTTCGTAAAAAATTCTGTTCCCTTGAAAAAAAATTACTTTGAAAAAAATCTCGATAAATCGAATTCCCGTCTAATTCGTAAAAAAAAGTGATCCCCTTGCCATTTCGAATTATCGGGACTCGACTGTAGTAATAAGTTGTATTTGTTATAATTTATCATCTGTTAAGAAAGTAGTCTTCTCAACCAAATCTACACGCTTATCGCCTGGTTGCTGTCTTGACTAATCTTTCCATCAAGATTGCGCAGTCCGCGTCCCTTATTATGCTACACTATTTTGTGGTTTAGTTTCGTATTTATCCTGCATTTATGCAACGTTGTATCAAAAATAGTCATTCCAGTTTGAAAAAAATGTATTTGTGAAAGATGTGTTTTCTTGAATTTCGTCCATAATTGTAGCTATCGTACATTAAAATGTAATTTTATGTATTTATTTGGATTTCGTAAGGTTTTTTCAGATTAAGAAAAAGAACTTCTCCAAATAAAGCATCAACCAATTTAGGGAAATCGACTTATAGATTTGCAAAAAAACTCGCGGTTGGAGCGGTTTAGCTGTCCAGAGAATTGTGATAACGATCAGATGCCGGGCTGTCTTTAGTATAGAAATTTCACCTTTTGTCTTAAATTATAGTGACTTCCTCAAGGGTATAAAAATCCTTTTTCTCTGCCTTAGAATCTCCCGATATTTAGACCCGTTGCATACTTTTTATCAAATACAGTATACATTTTTACTCTATAGTTAATAATAATTAAAGAGGATAATATTTAAAGATATGTATAATAAATAGGGCATACATACCTACATATTTATTATGTTAATTTTAATCCGTTTACACTATTTCGCGATTGAAGCTGTCTTTTTTTTTTCGTTCAGATGACTTTTCTTCTATGATCCTTGTTGATCCAGGTTCATATTCTAATAAATGATTTTTGTTAATTCATCCTAAAGTTTTCTAATCTTAATTTTGGTTCTCTTTGGAGTCACCGTGACTGACATGACATTTTGGATCATAAAATTACGATGTGGAAATTTAATAGTTTAAGTCCAATTTTTATACCGCATATTATTTATTTAATTTTTTTTCAGGTTTCTCCAATAGTGTTTATTCTTATTCTACTATATTTGGGAAGATAGTTCGAACCGGTTCATATTGGATATAAAGCTTGTAAATGCTAGTGAACGGAACTTCAATTTTTCTTGGTTGCGAAATTTCTCTGTTCGATACTATTTTATCTATTCTTGGGGCAAAGATAGCTTAGGAGTAAAATATTTATTTCAGTTGGCTATTCGAGAAAAGCAACTTGGTATAACAGTCAACAAATTAAATTCATTGTTTTGTATTGAAAAAAAATGTATCGAACAGCCACAGCGGGAAAGAAGAAAGTCTCAACCACAGTAAACAAAGCCAAAAAGAAGCAACACGAAAAATGTCTTAAAGGCACAAAATGCAAAGTCGAAAGTCACATTGCATCAATTACCTCTTTAAGAAACACCGGCAGCCCATTTGAAAATGATAACTTCGCAGTTTCTGCACGCCAATCATGCAGCCTTACCTATTCCATATCTGAATTGGTCCGGCAGGAGGTTGCAGACTTAATAATTAATGGCCATCTCAAGAGAGATGCAGCCAAAGGGGCAGCTGAACTAAGTACAAGCGAAGAACCCTTAAAGCACAATCTGAGCGACTTCGTAAAGCTGGATGATCTGAAGGACATTGTTGACAAGCTTATCGCACGAAATCTTGTCGATTCTGTCTTTGATACCAACGCCAAACAGGTCAGGGAAATCGTTGACAAGTGTAGTACGTTCGAGGATGATCTAAAAAAACTAACAGATCGAATAACTACAATTGAAGAGTCGGTAAAAGGATTGTTATCGGATAAAAAACCTTCTGGCTTTCAGGAATTTGAGAAGATAGTAGGGCCCACTTTCAGGTCGTCAAGGCTTCAATCCCCTGATCCAAAATCTTCAAGCTCTTTGCCGCCAGCATGCAACAAATCAAAACCAGGATTGCCTCCTCGTCAGAATTTCGATTTGAGCGAGAGTACTGACGAGTCCCTGAATGAACTATACACAAAGTTTTCTGTTGATGCAATTTCTAAAACGGGAAAGAGATATTCCAATGCAGGTCATGAAGAAGACAAGAAGGCACGAGTGTACAATGAGCTCATAAGTAAGTTCAATAGGGCAACGCCAAGTGAACAGGCTCTTTCCAGCCAGCAAAGTCAGTCGAAAGTTGTTTCCAGCAGTTCGCGCGTTCATGAAGATCAGCTAAAGCACGTGGCCGAGAAACGACTGTTTGAGACCAATATGCTCCTGTTCCAAAAGTCTCCATTTACGCTGCAGTTAAATAAAAACAAAAATTACTTCCCGAGTGAACTGCTTGCAGCCAGTTCCGAAAAACCAACTGATGCATTAAAACCAACTCAAAAAGGCCGTCGTCACCACCCGATCCAAACAGGACTAGCCAAACCCCGGCGGATCCCAGAAAAACCGGAGTCCGATTGGTTATTCGAACAGTAAAGTGGAACAATCTTGATTTCTTGTTTTCACCCGATTTTAATTTTAAATAAAGAAGACCTACGTCTAATCCATCCTTTTCAAATTGCTTTTAATTTATATGTCGATCTAACAGGTAGTGGCATGAAGTGGTATTACGATAGTCCGTCAGCTATGGAGTTGCCTTTTAAGAAACTTATGTTAAGCTAAATGCAAACTGGTGTGTCATTTCGTAAAAAGGTTGGAGGCAGCCATTGCCAAAATTATAAAGCAGAATATGCAGTATTGGCTACAAGCATATTTTACCTTGGTTGGGGTGAATCATGAGCTTGTAGGCCGTGATACCAACTTCTAAAAATCCAAAAAGTACTCGTCTTTGTCATGGAAACATGGTTGTAATTTTTATTGACTTTTACAGGCAACAAAGCAATCATCTTTGTCGATTAGTCTTTTTCTTAAAAAAATGGTTCCTCTTGGGATTTCTGGCCCTGATAGCTCTGTGGTTATTTTTTTTATTATAGTAAGAATTATTGAAGGCAAATATTTACACCTCTTTTCTAACGGTGAGGGAAGGTCCAATTAAATATATATATAAACAGATACTTTTGACTTTTCTTCTACATTTCACATACTTTTCCCCAATGCAGTGTACCAAGTATACCCAAGTTATTTGAAGAGTAATGGTCGATGCGTTTGTGAAGGAGAGAGGTACAGATATAAAGAATGTTCAGGGCATATACAGCCAGCTCAATAGTTGGCCATTCTCTCACACGCTATCCTGAATATCGGCGGGCCTAATCCTCTTGCGCCTAAGCTCATTCGGCGATGGGGTCTGTTTGTTGCCGTCCCTTACCATATTTACATAACTTGTAGTTTAGCATTCCAACTTAACTCCCCAAATAAAAATATATATCAAAGGTTAACAACAATTACTAAAATACAAACAAATGCAGAAAAAGGTTGACTGCTAGATAAGAAAAGCGACGTGAGGTCCTAGTTGGTATTTGACTCTCGCGGTTGCTCTCTACCCAACCCAACCGCAATCTTCCATAACGAATTCGTTTGGAAGATACCCAAAAAACCTATAATAATTCCAAATTTTCAAAAGTTTAAATAAGGTCTAATAAATGGCTTACGAAACATCATTAACGTCATAATTTTTTATTATTATTAAGGGGGGAACTGGCTAACTCGACCCAACTGGATCTATTGTACCCCCTTAAAGCTCACCCATCAACCCGCTGCCTCTGATAGAGGCATCGATGCTTCCGGATGTCCCAAGTGTTAGGGACCTGGAACCGAGGGTTCTACTTCTAAGGCTACTTAGTGCTGGGCAGTCTGAGATTATGTGTAGGGAGGTTTCATCCTCGCTATCACAGAATCTGCATGTCTTGCTGTTTGTAATCCCTATATTACATCGGTGATTCCTTAGTCTGCAATGTGCTTACCGGTTATTAAACCGGTAATTACCCTAAGTGAATTCTTCTCTAGTGGTATGAGCAGGGGCGGACGCAGAAAAAATTGTTTGGGGGGGGGTCTGATCGAAAAATTTTGAATATTAGGCACATTTAATATTTTGAAATATTAAGCATATTTAATATTAGGCAGTCTACAAAGTGATGTCAATCCTTATTGATCTTTTTGCGAGGATATCCAGAATTTGATCACTAGTAACATTCACATCTCTGTGAATGTTCAGAAGCGCCAGTCCGTTCAGCCGTTCCTCTCCAGTCCGATTGCGCAAGTAAGTTTTTAATCTTCGCAAAGTGGAGAAGGACCGTTCACTAGAGGCAACTGTGACCGGTAGTGTCCCACAAATTTGAAGAAGCCTGTATATTTGGGTGTTTAATCTTTTATTGCAAACGTCCAGAGCTTCAATAAATGATTTTGGGCGTTTTTTTTCTGGAATGTTTGAACAGAACCTGAAATGTAAAAAACCAATTAATAAATCAATAGACCCTTTTAAACCTGATGATTACCTTTTCCAAAGCTTGATGTCTACTTGCAACTCCTCCACAGACCCAGTGATGTCGTTCGGCCATTTTTCTTCAAAAAAATTAACAGTTTTTTTTATTGCCTCTTCATCGAGCTCTGCGCATTTGGCTGGGATGATATTCTGTATCATTGACAATAGTGCTCGATGTTCGAGAAATCTCAAGTCAAGTTCTTCCAGATAGTTATCCAAAAATGGGATAAAAATTGACCGTCGATAGTACTCTTCAGGACTCCCAAAATAATTGTCACGATTATATTGACGTCCTACTTGCCGAGGAACAGTTAGGTCTATACCCATCTTCCCAGCAATTTGATTTGCTGACTGGAATATTTCTGCAAATTTTTCGTCGGCCCTGGCGCGCATCTTCTTTAGTTCTTCGTGAACATTGTTCGCATATTGGACGCAGTCACTCAAATCGCATTCTTCTTTTTGCAAATTCTGGCTCAGGTTCTTCGTCAAGCTGAATACTGGTACCATAACAACCAACGCAACAATGAATTGCGATGTTTGGATGGAAGCAAGCAAGCTATTCGGCTGTACTCCATCTGTTTTTGATCTCAGCTCATTTAAATCTTCGAGCGTCAAACAAATGAATTCCAGTGCTTCATAGAACAATCCTAGAGAAGCAAGATGTTCGACCCAACGCGTTTCCCAAAATTTTAGCAGACGTGTCTGCTTGGCACTAGGATTTTCTGCCAGGATATGTTTTTTCAATAAATTTCCAGCTTTGCTCGACAAACGAAAGAAGTTCACAACTTGCTTAACTGTTCCAATGCAGTTCCGAATTGGTGCAATGTCGCACGCATGGGTAATGGCCAGGTTAAGGTTGTGATTGGCACAATGAAGATAAAGAGCATCTGGACATGTCTTCTTTACAATGGCTGCACAGCCTTTCAACTGTCCACTCATTGCTCGAGCTCCATCATAACCTTTGATCCAAAATGGATAATGGATAGTATATAGTTCCAAAACTTGACTTTCTTTTTCTACTTTTAGCTATTCATGTTAATTTAATTTTTTCCTAGTTATTAGTTTTATTGAGTGAACGTGAGGTATACTACAATACTTTTAATATTATACAAATATTTTTTATTCAATATATTAATGTTTAAAATTAAATAGTGGTATTTTATACTATTTCAATTTTGAATTAGTTTATTTAAGTTTTATACTTATTAAATTGAGTTTTTCCTTGTTAATTGGAGTTTTATCCTGGTTAATTGGAGTTTTATCCTGGTTAATTGGAGTTTCATCCTTGTTAATTGGAGTTTTACCAGCTTACCTTGCCCTTTCATGAAGTGAGTGTCAACTCCAAGTTTTTGCAAAGTTTTAAGCAGCAAATTTGCAAGCCCGGCGCCAGTCATGTCCTCTACAGGAATAAAGCACAAGAAGTCTTCTCGGATCGCGTGTCTCCCTTCGATTTCCTGAACGAACCTTGCTCCAACCGTAAATTGTTCGATTCCACTTACATCAGACGTTTCATCTGCGGTTACAGTGAAACACTTCGTCTCATTGATCCTTCTCACCAACTCTCTAGTGATGATTTCCGCTCCAGCATCAAAGATCTCGTTCTGCATTCTATGGCTCAAGTATGTTGCATTACCACCAGCCACCTTTAAATTTTCTTGTAGTGCCAGATCTCCACTATCCACCGAAAAACGCAGAAGTGCCCTGAAATTTCCGTCATTATCTTTTGGAATTTCCAGCGCCAGTGTGCCATCATCTCTATGTCCTCGTAGCGACAGTCCTGGTCTGCAGCAGAACAAAACCGCATGAATGATGGGAGCAAGCTTCCGCCTATTTTCTAATTGAAGCCGTTTTCGGCTCTGGTCGATCTCGACAATGACATCATTTTTCTTACTTTCATAAATAAGCTTAAAATTCTGTGCATCTGCAAAGGCGTCCAAGTGATATTTTTTCAATTGGTGTTCTTTGAATTTGTCCAAAACTTTTTTTCCAATTTTTGAAACTAATTTGCACAAATGAACCCAAACGTTCATGTTTTCCATATCCAACTTCTTTTTGTGCAAATAAAATGCAAACTCGACAATAAGCACCGTCTTCAGAAGCTGAGTAAGTGAGTCACGGATACTTGTGTAATCACGAATGTTGGAATTTCAACTGTTTTCTGATAATTTCCGTTGCTGGAAACACAAAATCAGAATCCGGTGTCCATACATTGACTAAGAGATCGTACATCTCGGTATTGTCAAGTTTTCGTCTACAGAACCGTTGGACATCATGCACGTGATCTTGAAATTTCTGAGAATTCATAAGTTCATCAAAATTGAACTGGGCGAAAATTAAAAAAAACTTACTACGGACTCCGGTTGATGATCATTTTCCTTGTCATGCCGCGATTTTTTTGCAGTGGATACCTCTTCGGTCTGTTCGAGTTCGCGTTTAGCATTTGCATTTGTCGGTTTAAAAAACGACTTGATTTTATTAGATGCCATTTTCATTAACGATGAAGCAAACGAATGTAACGCATTGGATTACTGTCGATTTTTATCTATAGACTAAAGTTATCGATAATAAGGTTTTAGTAGGACCTCACTTTCTGTCCCTTTACAAAATAAAATAGAATGAATCATTTTTTAAATGTACCAACTTGTGATGTGGACGATTTAGTTTATACGGTTGAAAGACCGTGTGCTGTAAGGGAATTTGAAAAAGTCAGAGACCCTTCCCCTGCGTCCGCCCCTGGGTATGAGTTTCTTAAACCTCTTCATGTCATAATTGACGATGAGGATTTTGGCTTGTCTTTGGCCTGTGGTGTTCTCCTAGCAGGCTTGCCTCATATGTACCTCTATATATCATTGATTGTGTGTCTGCCTATGCTACAATAAGGCTCGGGTCCTATAAGGAGTCGTTCCGCCCCTAGTTTTCGGCTAGTTCATTCCCGGATATGTTTTTATGTCCTGGAATCCATCTTTGAGACAGCCTGTTGTTGCTGCCCAGAAGGTTTAGCTTTGTTCTTACTTCTCGAACCAGCTTCGAGGTGATTCTATTACTACAGAGTGCAGTAATTGCCGCTCGACTGTCCGAGAAGATCGCAATGTCCTTGTTTGTATACCCACGCTTCATATAAAGATCCGCACACCGTTCTTTGGCACATACCTCAGCTTGGAATATGCTGGTGTATTGGCCTAAAGATTCATGGTATTTGATTCGTGGTCCTATCACTCCCAGGCTTGGTGTGTTAGGGACCCGTCCGTATACCACGCTATGGTGTGACTTGCCGTGGAGTGTACTTCCTTCCTTGTTGCTCAAATGAGCAGAGAAATTCTTTTCAAAGATGAATTCTACTGTCATATCGTCCCTGGGGTGTGAAATCAGGGGAAGTTAGACTAGTAGTTTTGCTGCATCCCCAGAGCTGAGGATGCGGTCACTGCCATTACCAGAAGAAGTGATTCTTAATAGGGTGGCTTTCCGCTGTAACTCTGAAGAGAGCCTTAAGGCACTTGTCAATTGTATTTTGCATGCATATCACGCGTATACAAAATAGCAGGGTATTCTGTAGTGACCAGCTGATAGACGTACAAGGTAGTATAACACGCGTTGCTACCGGCGCTGCTCAGAATCGGGTCAATGGGTGGGTTTTTTATGAGAGTACTACTCGCAATGCTGGCGTTTTATGCAGTAATATTATTTGATTTCGCGTGCTTTGGGGTTTGGGGAATTAACTCACTCAAAACTGACAAGATAAAGAAGAAAGAAAGAAATAGTAATTAAACGATCGACAATAGAAAAGGAAAAGATATAATTCTAAAACAACTTGACTTGAATGTTGTTGCTGTAGTTGTTGTTCAGCAACTTGCATTAGCCCACCCAACCTAGACCATTTACTCCGGCTCCAAAATTATGTCTTTCATTAAATGGTCCCTATGTTCAAGTCACTTCTTTAATACCCTACCATATTGTTGTTCGGCATGACCCCCACGGTAAACGCTTAGCAGTTGTTCATTTTCTCTTTACACAATTTATTCATAGTTATAGTTTTCCATCACGGTGGTGGTAGCTTTTAAAATTAATTCCTATGAAAATATTTAGTTTAATTAGGCTTGGTATTTTATTTTAATTTTCGCACAAAATCTTAAAATGTTCTTTTTGGTTATTAATTTATGCGCGCAGTGAGAAATCGTGAGAATGGTGCTGTGGTAAAAATAATATGGCATAGGTAGGTATATAGTAAAATTGTTTACTAATTTTATGAGTCGAACTAATGTCCCGTCAGTTGACTAAGGACAACGCTAAGAAGAATAAATTAACGAACAACGAATTTAGTTTCACGTCTTTATTCAAATGAACTCAGCTTAAGACTAATTTCTTGTGACAAAAATCTTTCTTGTGCTGCCCTTTGTTTACAAAAGTTTGGGAGCGATTGGGATATGGATTGTACATAAGCTTGGGAGTAAGAGTGCCGCTCAGGGTGCGACACTTATTGATTTCAAGAATTGTTTATGTTATTGAAGAGCGGCGTCGCCTGCTCCGGATGCGGATTGTTTACATTGATTCAGCGTGGGATCGCCTACGCTGCATATTCTTATTTTTTTGGTACATAACTGAATATGTGAATATGTCACTATATATGTAAATATACACTGACGAGCAAAACTGTAACACGATTTCATTGTTTCAACTTCAAAGGTCTGTAACTTTTTTTCTAATGCACGGATTTTAAAGATCTTAGTCTGGTTTTGTAGGTTATATCATTTACTACTATGTATTAAGTAAAATTCAAAGCCATTTGATATCAGTTAAAGAAAATGACGCGCCAAACTGTAAAAAAAAGTCAAATGTTACAGTTTTGCACTCTGGTTATTTTTTGAAGAAATATTTTTATTAAAGATTTTTATACCCTTGCAGAGCAGAGGGTATTATAATTTCAGTCAGAAGTTTGCAACGCAGTGAAGGAGACACCTCAGACCCCATAAAGTATATATATTCTTGATCAGCATCACCATCTGAATCGAAATATGTATGTACGTCTGTCCGTCTGTCCGTCTGTCCGTCTGTCCGTCTGTCTGTCTGTCTGTCTGTCCGTCTGTCCGTCTGTCCGTCTGTCCTCCTGTCGGTTTCTATGTAAACTAGTCTCTCAGTTTTGAAGCTATCTTGCTGAAACTTTCTCAAAAGTTGTGTAGTTATTGCACGCAGTATATAAGTCGGAACGAGCCGGATCGGCCGACTATATCGGATAGCTCCAATACAAGAGAATGAAATAAAAAATTCTCACTCTGTTGTTTTTGATCAGATCGACTTGAATTCTTCAAGATGGCGTTTTCTAACTGTTATTGAATTTCGGATAAAATTTGAACAAAATCGGATAACTCTATCATATAGCTGCCATAGGAGAGATCGAAAAATATATATAGAATTAATGGAAATAAATTGATAACATCGTTGTTTTTTATCCCACGAGCATGATTTTTTTAATATCAAGTTTTTTAACAACCCTTATATTGAGAAAAAAGTTTCATAAAAATCGGACAACTATATCTTATAGCTGCCATAGGAAAGATCGAAAAATATATATTGAATTAATGGGAATTAATTGATAACTTCGTTGTTTTTTATCCCACGCCCATGATTTTTATTTGAGTATAAAGTTTTTAAGAAGCATTGAATTTAAAAAAATTTCTTTAAATTCGGACAACGATATTATATAGCTGCCTTGGGACCGATCGAAAAATCTATACAAAACAAAACTATTACATCTCTGTTTTTTTTATGTTTTTTGTTATACAAACATGGTTTTTCTTTAAGATTTTCTTTAAGGATTATTAAATTTCGAAAAAAGTTTAATGAAAATCGGAAAATTGCAATATTTGAATTTGTGTAAAATGTATTAATTAAAACAACATTTAATTTTAAAGGATTGCTGCTAGTTTCTGTAAATTTTTATTTCGAAATTCACGTACTCAGCCCCCACACCACGACAAGGTCTCAATCCACGAGGGGGAAATTTTAACTACTTAAAAATTAAATTGCACATTATTTTAAACCAAGACTTAATTTTATACAATTTATTTATACAATTAGGTACTTAATTAAATAACCCTTAATAAATACAAATAACAACTTAACATACTTGTACAATTATAGAAAATACGTTATCCAAGAAATTAATTATTAACTTATACATAATTACTTATAGGCTACACTTTTAAGAAAACACCATCATGATGACTGTATGGGGTCTCATATGTAAGGGCAACAGCTTCTGAAATACCAGTATCAGCAAAAAACCAATCTATTTGCGTTTGATGCTTTGTCGTTGGACTACTATTAATTGGTACAAGGTTATGAGCATTTAGAATTTCCTCTAAGGAATCAGTTCGTGTGGACCTGCATATGTTAAAATCTCCTAATATAACCACTTTATTATTTTCCATACTGCGAACTCTTTGAACGTCATTTATAATTTCATTTCGAAATCTTGCTATAGGATATCCGGGACTCCTATAAACAATGATAAATGATGTATCAAGATATTTAAAAGCAATCGATTGATAAGTGGCCCTTGAATTCAAAAAACTTATTCGTCTCAAACAGAAGGACCACTCTATGGAAGATACTCTGCTTTGCAAAAATAATTATTCCATTCTTTCCAATATTATTCAATCGATTGCTGTCAATTCTTCCTATGATGTTGAAATCTATAAGGCTGTACTCTTCTCTTGGAAGAGACCAGGTTTCGACAAAACATAAGAAGTCAGCGGAACAAATAATTTTATCGTTGGATATATCTTCGCGATGGGCACGAAGAGACTCAACATTGTGGTAATATAATGAGATAGTATTTTCATTGGCCAAGAATTCGTATTGCGTAGTCAAGGTCTTTTCCTCTCTTAAACTTTGAAGTTCAGTTTGGACATTTGTTGCTCCAAATCTTGTTGGAGGAACAAAGTCGCCTATTAGGAAAAGACCCGATGCGCTTGTTGCCCTGCTACACGCTACATAAAGTGAAGCTCGCTTAATGCCTCTTTTAAGATGCACTGCGACTTTGCTGTAGGTGGCTCCTTGGCTTTTATGGATGGTAATAGCCTCAGCAGGAACAACTGGGAATTGCTTGCGATCTACTGTAGAATGCTCTGAAGTTCCACATCGAAATACTCGTGAAACCTTTTTTATCGGAGTCCAATCTGAATGCTCATTTCCTCTCACTTTTGATCTAGCAATAGCTCCAACCGTTGGATCAGAAAACTTAATCCACAGCCCTGTAACCAAAAGCGAACCGTTTACCATACAACTGTCTATTTGCATGAGGTCGCCAGTTGCACCATTTACCAGTCCATCATTGGTGTCTATATTAACGGTTACCATATATTTTGCAGTTCTTTTCAGATGAAGAATATATGATAATCCCTGGGTTTCCGACGTTTTCATATTTTTTGCATTTCTAAGAGTTCTTTCTCTGTGACTCTGCTGCATGTTTGCCGATTTAATTGTATCTATTGCAGTTGAAATAAACTCTTCTGTGTTAATTTGTGCCAGTTTCAATGTATTATAGCGATCCACCTCATCATTTGAGCAAAATAGGTGGATGGCATCGTCGGGAACCTCAGTTGGGGGGACTACTCTCTGCCTAAGGAGTTCTATGTCTGTGACCGACATGTTGGCTTCAGACATATTGTTTAGAGCTAGCGCAAATGCGTGGTCGTCGCGTTGCCGCATTATTTCGGTCAGCTCAAAAAATTTAAAATTATCCCAAAGATTAGTTCCAGCGATAATGTTATATGGATTGTTGGTATTTTCTAAGAATATCCAACGATCCCCAACTGGAGAAAGCTGCTTGAGATCTCCAAACACAATTATTGATTTGCCACCGAATATTAAATCTTGGCTTCTAAAAATTTGTCTTAGTCTTTGATCCAAATACCAAAGCATTTTGGAACCGACCATCGAAATTTCATCAATAATTATTAATTGTAGGTCCATTAACTTACAATGAATTGTGTTAACTGAGTCATTGCTTAAAGGCCTTAATGGACCAGATGACTGGTTAACTGGAAGGGAGAATATGGAGTGAAGGGTGAGTCCTCCAATTCCAAAAGCAGCTTTTCCGGTAGGAGCACATAATAATACCTTTGGAGAATCAGTTGCCCCAGGAATTTTACTTGCTCGCCAAGTTATAGACTGATAAATAGTCGAAATCAATCTACTTTTGCCTACTCCAGCCCCTCCGCCAACGTATTCATAAAATGTTTTTTTTGCTGCTACATTATGCATTACATGGGCATAATACTGGCGCTGTTTTGAATTGAGCGACCGGGTAAGCGAGCAAAGATTGTCTTCTGATACCAACGGTGGAAGTCTAATAAGTTGAAGCTCGCCCTCTTCAACGTTAGCAGCATCATCATCCTGAAACATATTTATGTTTTGGCCGACGTTTGGCACTGCCAGAGCTCTGAACTCTTCATCTAAGTATTGGGAAGCAGGTTGGTCAGGAAGAGGACCACTTTCTTGTCTATCAACATTTTGCAGCTCTTGAAGAACTCTGTCCAATTCCATATCATCAAAAACATCGTATTCCGCTTTATTGCGTTTAATTAGCTCATAGTTGTTTCTGAAGGTGCTCTCGTTATCGTTGGAGATGAGGTCAGTATCTTCATTTCTCCAGGGAAAGAAAAGCATTACGTGCTCTCGAAAATAGTCGGATGGGGAAGAATTTAAACTAAATCGGACCCATCGGAGGATTAGGGCATGCTTACGTTTTTTTACAAACCCAGTCCCATCCAGCAGTTGGTAACTTTGTTCGCCTGCCAAATTTTCGTTATCTGGTTCCAAGTCCATCGGCTCTTCATAATCTTCGTTGGAAGGATTTGCTCGTGTATTTGACCTAGAAAATTTGTACCAAGCCGCAAATTCTGCAAGGCATACTGACTCTAATAACTCATGCCTTTGCACATATCGGTCGAGTAAATTTCGCTCAAAAATATCAGTTGAGTCTCCTGGAAGCTGTTCTAGTTCTCTGTTGGATCGAACTATGCGAACTCTTTTATCTGGATGGCAAGTGTTTATAAAAATATTTCCTTCACTAGCCTCAGACATGTGTAAGCCTAAAATATTGTAGGCAGCTTCTTGGGCTGATATCTCCGTAGCGTTTATAAATTTGCTCCCTAGGTGTTGCAACTTTCTTTTAATTGAAATGTTTCCGTGTTGCATTTCAGTCATTGCTTCCCGCATCAGTTGAGACACGCCGCGGTTGGATTTGTTAATGTAGTTAATTATGTAACTACAACAGGCATAAGCGTCTAAGATAAATTGGATATCCATGTTGGCTCTATGTAATTCTAAGATACTCTTATTATACGCATTTAACAACCTATCAGAAAATTGACGACGTAAAAATACCTGGGGCTTTTTTAAGCTGGATCTAACTGCAAGCTTGTACTCCTCAAATGTGCTTCCAAGTTGGGAAAGAAAATAATTAAAATCGTTGTAGGTCGCTGCTTCATCTTCAGGACAAGATTTTAAAATATTTTTAATTTTTCTAAACAACGCTTTATGAGTGTCAAGACTGGCTTCATTTTCTTCCAAAGGATATAAGATGAGAGTTTCAGGCATGGGAGGGTATGGCATATTGAAGCGGCAAAATTCCTGGCCTCGCAGTTCTCTTAAGCACGATGAACTATGCTTATGGCGCTGATATTGAATTACTTCTTGCAATTCAGGATCGTTTCCGCTGGTAGTAATAAACCTATCAATAAAACGTACTAATTCATCAGAATTTTCCGCTCCTTCGAGGTTTGGCGCTCCAGAAAGCCAGTACATTCCATGAGAGTGTGGAGAGCCTCTGTGCTGGAACTCGATCCTCCAATAATAATGTGTTAGGGTATACTCCCCAAATATTTCGGAGCTTTTGAATAATTTTAATAATTGACGGAACCTGTAGTCAAAGTAACGGGAGCAAGTTACTGGGTCGGATCGGATCAGTCGAGCTTTTTCGGTACTGGATAATGATGCAGCTTCCTCCTCATTTATTATTTTGTTATCTAACAAAAGAGAAAGAATAATCAAAAGTTCATTCCATTTTGTTTCAGCAGCAGAAAGGGTGATAAAAAATGTAGGCAAACCAAATTGTCTTATCATTGCTATGACCTTTTTCTTTTCTGCTTCCCAATGAGCAGGAGCTGAACGCAAACCTTTTAAAATATGATACCCGTCGTCATGCTGCACTAGTCTGTCAATAAAAGATTCATCCCTTACGTTTGCAGCAGTTACCGCACCTGATTTTTTTCGTAAGGCAATGGAAATGGAGTTTTGAATTCGCTGCATCTCATAAAATTTGTACATATAAAGGACTTTAGGAACAACTGCACAACGTCGATCGTAATATCGAATTTGGGACCTCGCTTTTTTGCGTAGGTGGTCTTGGCCTTAAAAATTTCACCACAAGATATTGTTGGAAATGAAAGTTCTTCAGCATCGTCATCTAGGGTTAAATTTGTGGGACGGCGGCCTTCACCGGGAGCCAAAGCAATACGCTGAAAATCATTCCCGTTATTATTTTCTAATAGCGTTTCGTGACCACCAGGATTTAAATTTTCATCCTGTTGGTCGTTTGGTTGAGAATGTTGAAGGCGCAAAAGCTGTTCAACTTCTTCTCGGTCAGATTCATCTGCGATGAATGGTACTTCTTCGCTATCTCTCATTTCATTCAGCCAATCACCAATTAATGAGATATTGTGCTTTCTATACAGCTCTGTGTTTACTAAATAACGCACTGCTTCAAGCACTCTCGACGGACGAATTGTTTCCGTCATGAAATTATGGGAGTATTCTAACTTTCTCTTTAAGTGAACTTGGATAACATGTGTAGAATCAAAAGAGCGGGGGAGCGCACTTACTGTATCAGGTACAGAAATTGGGACATTAACTACAGCGCCTCTTATTCCGCATTGCCTTTCATATCCTAGGGATATAATGCGCATAAAGGGAATTCGGGGAGAAATGAGGCGCTCTTCAAGACATGTTAAATTTTTGAGACACTCGGGAATCTCTGGAAAATCAAAACCATTACCAAGACACAGAGATGGTATTCTACCTTTGGAAACGGCCTGGCGACATGTGCTGCAAAATTTGTATTTGCCGGACGGACTGGGAAATTTACTACTTAAATAAAATGCGTTGCCTACATTCATATTCGGAAACTTAGACGATATAGTAAATTTGTTCAAAGCACTCACCTGAGATATAAACCAAGTCCCTCCACAGCATATGCAGCATTCAGTTGGTCCGTATTTGATGTTTTGTAGATACTGCTCCTTTGCTGACGCTCGGCTCCTTCGGCGTTGTTGTTCCCGTTGATCCTCTCTTTCGTCTGCGGAAAGTCCAGCTCTAGCATCCATGTTTCGTTGAGACTGTCGTGAAGATTCAGCCTGTCGATTCTCCGAACTGGTCCTATACGTCAAGAGTCGTTCCTCAGCCATTTCCCGAATCCGTTGCTCCCGAAGCCTCCTCTGTAGACGTGTTTCCCGTTGTTGCAATGTCCTGTTGTGTATCTGATGTTCCCGAGAAATGGGGTCGTTCCTGGCAATCCTGTGAGCTTCCGCGTCCCGCTCTCGCTCCGGTCCTCGATTTGCATCATTCGCTCTCCAGACAGCGCGGCTTGCAGTGTTTTGTGACTGCTCTCTTTGTCGTTCCTCAGAAATTGCCCGCATCCTTGCGTGTGCTGCAGCATCCCGTGTACGCTCGGGTGCTCGGTTAACCTCTGCCGCTCTCCAGGTAGCATGATCGGCAGTATTTCGCAACTGCTCCCGTCGTCGTTCCTCGGAGTTCGCCCGTGTCCTTGCATGTGCTGCAGCATCCCGTGTACGCTCGGGTGCTCGGTTAACCTCTGCCGCTCTCCAGGTAGCATGATCGGCAGTGTTTCGCAACTGCTCTCGTCGCCGTTCCTCGGAGTTCGCTCGGGTCCGCGCGCGCGCTGCAGCATCCCGTCTACGCTCGGGTCCTCGGTTTTCCTCTGCTAGTCTCCAGGTAGCATGATCGGCAGTGTTTTGCAACTGCTCTCGTCGCCGTTCCTCGGAGTTCGCTCGGGTCCGCGCACGCGCTGCAGCATCCCGTGTACGCTCGGGTCCTCGGTTTTCCTCTGCTAGTCTCCAGGTAGCACGATTGGTAGTGTCCCGCAACTGCTCCCGTTGCCGTTCCTCGGAGTTCGCTCGGGTCCGCGCACGCGCTGCAGCATCCCGTCTACGCTCGGGTCCTCGGTTTTCCTCTGCTAGTCTCCAGGTAGCACGATCGGTAGTGTCTCGCAACTGCTCCCGTTGCCGTTCCTCGGAGTTCGCTCGGGTCCGCGCACGCGCTGCAGCATCCCGTGTACGCTCGGGTCCTCGGTTTTCCTCTGCTAGTCTCCAGGTAGCATGATCGGCAGTGTTTTGCAACTGCTCCCGTTGCCGTTCCTCGGAGTTCGCTCGGATCCGCGCACGCGCTGCAGCATCCCGTGTACGCTCGGGTCCTCGGTTTTCCTCTGCTAGTCTCCAGGTAGCATGATCGGCAGTGTTTTGCAACTGCTCCCGTTGCCGTTCCTCGGAGTTCGCTCGGGTCCGCGCACGCGCTGCAGCATCCCGTGTACGCTCGGGTCCTCGGTTTTCCTCTGCTAGTCTCCAGGTAGCATGATCGGCAGTGTTTCGCAACTGCTCTCGTCGACGGTTTTCGGAGATAGCTCGAGTTCGTGCCCGCGCTGCAGCGTCCCGTTCGCGTTCGGGCTCACGATTTTCCTCTATAGTCCTGCGAGCTGCATGGCTGGCAGTATTTAGGGCCTGCTGCCGTCGTCGTTCTTCAAAATTTTCCCTGGTATTGGCGTAAGCTGCGGCGTCCCGTACACGTTCAATAGCTCGAATTCGTGCACTACGCCTTCTCAGAGCGAGGGCAGCAGTTTCTCGTGCTCGAATTTCTGCTACCACATCGATATTCGTAGAGCGAGTCAAGGCAATATGCTGGGCATTTCTGGTCCTTATCTGAGACGAATTTTGTGCATATCGATCTCGGCTACGAGCAAGCGCAGCTTGCCTACGCTGTTCTTGCGACAAAGAAGATTTACGTGGCATTCTCTGGAATTGGCTGTTAAAAAAAATTGGAAGAAAAAATACATAGCGAATGTTTGATTAGACCACATTAATAAAAGTGGTATTAATGAATGGGTTATGGCTAAGTCCTAGTAGAATTAACTTCCACTTCAAACTGTATACAAACGAATGACTTACCAAATCAAATATTTCCAAGATTTGTTTTGTTGTTTTAACCACTTCAACTTTTCACTTCTACACAAACGTTTAAAAAAACTCGCACTGTAAAAAATACTGCACCACTTGTATAAGTTGTAACTCGGCAACTGTCAATCACAGACTAATCCGCAGCTTAGGCGTACGCGTCAATAAATACTCGTAAGTTGGTGATTTACCTGTTAATTTGGTTATCCTTTTCTTTTTCCCTACATACAGGTAGTGCACGTGTCGATGATGCAATTTTACGACATTTGGTAACCCTTTTTAGAAGGGTCTTAGGTAAATTAGGTCGCTTGTGCACTGTAATAAATGTGCAGGTGTGCGCACCTGATACCTATTGTTAATATTGCGTAATTTTAAGAAAAATTAAAAATAACCAGGTATATAATTTCTACAAAATACCTTCTAAATATAAGGAGTTTTTCAAGAGGAAGATGCGATCCGTTTTTGAAATAAACATCAATAACTTAGGCAGGTCCACCAATAATTGTATAATGCGATAATTCAGATTATTTCTATATTTTGATCATTCTTGTTATACTATTATATATTAAGAAGTCCTCAGATTTTAAATTACCATTGTTGATTATACAAAAACCGTCATAGCTTCGATGCTGTTAGCCTTTATATATTTTGTTCGACATATTTGATGTCTGCAAGGGTATATAAGCTTCGGCTTGCCGAAGCTAGCTTCCTTTCTTGTTTAATAGTGAGTTCACATCCCCTTGGACTTTTTTAGCTCTTCTATGCGTCTGGGCATATTTTGGGTATACCGTCGTATCATTTCCGGGGGAATATCATTCCACAAGTTTTCTGTTGGATTTACGTCGGGAGATTGTGGTCGCCACTTCATAGATTGAAATTTCTCTTTTGAAATCCAATTTTTTACCAATATGGACGTGTGCTTGGGGTCGTTGTCTTGCTCAAAAACGCATTTTTCGGCAGAAAGACCCAACTTTCCAAAATTCCTTTGGAAGATTTTCTTGTAAAATGGATGGATATTGCTCCTTTCGCATTATTCCATCAACAAAAGTATTTTGGAATTGTTTGCTTTTTTAAGACACTGGTAGCAATGACTTACAGTATCCCAATTCGCTATCAAGCACGGTGGCGGTTCCATCATGGTTTAGTTACAGACCTTTGAAGTTGAAACAATGAAATTGTGTTACAGTTTTGCTCGTCAGTGTATATAAAAATAACATAACTGGTAAAAATATTTGGCACTGCGACAGATTAAAAGTCGGCATATATATAAAAAGGCATATAATAAATGAAGGGTATTTATTAATTCCATCATCATTTTCTGGACCGTACAAAAGAAAAGTGGTGCGAGTTATTTATTTAAAACTGGATTTTCATTCTTTGGTTTCTTCTCTTCATTTTCAAATTTATTTATTATTAATTAATATATTTTTCCAAAAAAAAAAACCAAAAAAAAATTATTATCTTTTTTATCTTTACGTTAAAATTTGTTTTCTTTTCTTTACATTTAATATTTTTTATTTCGGCAGCAAGACTTGAATCATAAAAGGCTTCTGAACAGTGATAATAGCTTTAAAAAGACTTACCGCTCCATTTCCAGTCGGACGAAAGCGCTTTCGGCGAATTGTGGGGAGGGAATTTTAGGTTTTAGATCACTTTCAGTTTCTGGTCAATGCATTCCAAACCTTTTCAGATTACTTTCGGGTTCACTTGCATTGCCTTTTCTTATCGCATTCACTACTTATACACTGCACTTTTTCTTTTAGCTGCCAGATCAGTTGGTATTAGTTTAAAACTTTCCCATCTTTATTATGGATTAAAATTTTATGGTTTTTGTTGTTTGGGTCTGCCACATTAGGTTCCCCCTTTTTTTTTTTAATTTATTTATTTGTTAATTTTAATTCACTTTTTCTTTCACATTATTTACTCACCACACCATTCTCTCACATTTTATGATTTCTCTTTTTCATTTTTAAATTTTAAAACTTTAAAAAAAAATACAAAAAAAGAAAGTATAAAAAAACTAGGAAAGATTCGTACGCAATATGGCAAAAATATGGATTTTGCCAGCTCTGGGCATAGTAGTTTGGGGTGTTTAGCGGCGATTACATAACCTCTGGTCAGCGGTTAAGTTATACCTCCTGGAGTATTACGCAACCCAGCATCGGGGTTATGTAACAGCACTTGATTGGAACCGATTTCCCGCGAATTTCCCGACTAGATTTGGGGCTTCCTGACGATCGGGATTACATTTTGACGCACTTTACCACATTTTAATATTACCCATTTGTGTGATGCGAGGGAAATCGGATTCCGACGGCGTTTACATGACGATCATGCGGCTGTATCGAATTATACATATGTCGGCGAATACTGCTTAAGCTGCCGAAGAACTTATCTTGGCTTGGCGCCTGCTCCCTTCTTCCTCTCTCTTCGCCCCGCAAGCTTTTTGGACTTGCGGAGAGAAATTTTGCGACGAATAGAAAACGGAAGATTTCGATAATGGCCTGGAAAAGCAATTTAAATACCCTGAACTTGAAATTGTTGTTGTGTTCAATGGCGATTAGAAGTTTCTTTAATCAAAAATAATAGGAACTGCAAAAAGAATTTTTCAAAAATAATTTTTCTTCTATTTTTAATGATTTTTTGAAAATGACTAGAAATACGCATTTCAGCCATATTTTTCTCTTTTCCATACAAACTTTTTCCGACATTGCCACCTTCAAAAAATCATTAAAAATAGAAGAAAAATTATTTTTGAAAAATTCTTTTTGCAGTTCCTATTATTTTTGATTAAAGAAACTTTTTGCATCCAAAAATTTTAATTTTGAAGCCGAGGTAAAAAGTTTTTTTTTTACTTTTTTTTTAAATTGCCCTTTTCAATAAATATCGAATGAGTTGAGAAAAGTATGGTATCATTCAAAAGGCATTTGAATTACCTTTCCATTGATACCAAGTTAAAAGAAGCAAGTTCAGGTTTCGAGTATATTTCACTTTTATTTTGTCAAAATATATATGCCGGCTAGTGTATATAGCACTTTAAAGATGGTGTTTCACTTAAGGCATTGCACACTTTGCCATCCACCATTGTAAGTTGAAGGATATGATCAACATAGAATTTCCGGTTGGTAGCCGTTTCAAATTCAGCGGGAGTTAGTTGTTGAATTTTGTTT